TCACACTACGGTGGCTATTAAAATCAAAAAGGCTGTGCATGTGAGGCTGGAAAATTGGAAGAATGGTAGTAACCTTAAACATCTTTTGGCTTGAACTCTGCGAGGATACTTCAGTTGTTTTGGCAACTTTTTGCTGGATGCTTTTGGCTGGGTTGAGGTTATTTTGCTACATTACCTCTGCTGCTATGTTCTGTCCCAAGGGGTCTTTGCCGGATGGCTGGAATGCTGATTATGTTGGATCTTCTGGGATCAGCTCCATTACTGGCAGGTTGTTATTATGGATGAGTTTTCTGCAGGACGATGATGACCGCTGCAGCATAACCCCTTGGAGGGCCTTTTTAGGCAACCAGGGGTTATTCATTGATTGCCCGATTGACCCGAGAGACTAGCTGCAGTTTTTTGCCTGAGTCCTGAAAATTTTTTGAAAATTTTTTTTTTGTATACCACATTTTCTTTCTCTTTTGGTTGATTTGGGTGGTATAGGTTTTCCTTACTTGTATTTTTTTCTTTTATCCCCCCAGTTTTTATTTTGGGGTTGGATTTTCTTATTTGTAACCTTTTTTATTAATAGATGGGCTTAGGCCCCAAATTCTCCCAAAAAAAAGAACAAACCTTCATCCTACTATGTGGGATCTGTTACATAATTTTTTTTCGAAATTCTCATTTATATTTAATAGAAAATAATTTTTTATTTGTTTTATATAACCAACCCCACATAATAGAATAAATTCTTAATGTTTTTCAGAATGCTACATATGTAGATAATGCAACAACAACAACAACAACATTAAGTCTTTGTCCCACTACGTTGGGTCAACACAGGCATCACTTTTTCTCCATTGGTGTCATGTTAAAAGTCAAATTCTCGTTTAAATCTAATAAAGAAAGATCTTTTTTAATATTTTCTAACCAAGTCTTCTTAGATCTACCTCTACATTTCTTAACAAAAGTCAAATCTAATACCTCTACTTTTTTTTAACTGGGTCATCGGATGGCCGCCGTTTTATGTGATCATGAAACCATCTAAGACGTCTCTCTCTAATCATTTCTTCCACTAGAGCTACTCCAACCTTTTCACGTATATGCTGATTTAATATCCCATCTCTAAGAGTAAAACCGCTCATCCACCTAAGCATCATTATCTCTGCAACACTTAGTTCAGTATTATGCTCATTTCACGTATATATTTCGGTAAAACCTTCCAAAAAAAATTTTAATATTAGAATTCATTCATGTAGCAGTTTTCTTAGTCTTTTGATTGTGAGCTTTAACTATCAACTAAAAGATCTTAATTTAAGTAATGTGTATTATTATTATTATTTAATTAGTCTAAATATCTAAAAAAAAATCCATTCATGTAACAAATCCCACCACGTGTTTCTTCTTTCACCTCTCTTTAAAACCCATAATCAAATGCTTTGGAAAAGCTTTGAAGTAAAAAACAAACAAAAAGAGAAGCTTATGTGGTTGTAAGGAAAGAAAAAAAAAAAAAAAGCACGGGTGGATCTATAATAAATCTTGCTCTTTGGAACCACGTGGTGGATACGCGGGCCCACCCGCTGTCTCACTTTGGACGGTCATCCTCAGCCGTGGGATTCGGAGCATTCAGATTTGGTGGTCGATATCTAAAGCAGCAAAGTATCTTTGGTTTTTTTAACTATCAAAGGATCCCATAATTATGCCTATCTTCGCACTCATGACGGCTATGAAATCTGGTTGGCTAAATATCTTGTAATATATTTATTTGAAGAAATATAATTAAAAATTTATATTGAATGAGATTTAACCTCTTATATTTATGGAGTATTTAATAAACTTTAATTTCTTGAAATTAGTTTGAATTATTGTTTGAGCCTGATTTGAATTTGTTTAAGAATGATTTAAGCATTTGTTTAAATTTGATTTGAACTTTGGTTAGACTCGTCGAAAGGTTGCGAGTTGATAGAAAGTGCATAAAGGAGAGTTC